AAATTCTGCAGTGAAACTAGTAGGACTGAGAACCTCCAGCACAGGCAGGCAGCAGAGAGGAAATCCACAGTTTCAAAATAGAGCCTCTTTGGCTTTATGCTGGCTTCACCCCACTCTATTTAGGAAAGCTCCCAGAAGTCATTCCGCTTTGCTGAGGCTGCTGCCCATGTTCCCTTGAAAGAATTGTTGACAGAATTCATGCAATTATGTATATAAAGCCCTAGCATTGTACCTGGAACAGGGTAAGTCTCAAGTGTCAATAATAGTAACTCCTCCCCAAAATATCTGACCTTCTCTGCCTAAGTCACGTAAGCCCAAATGGCAAATGGCAATAGCTGTGCACGACTATTTCAGTAAACTTTGGTGGCATTTGAAAACAAGCACTACCACATCTTTCTTCATTTAGCCCACCTCTCTTTCTCTCATGAGATGTCTACTATAGTTTGGATTTATGTTCAATCTAGAAAATCGAGGCTTTGGGTTTTTAATATAGAATGTTCATCCAGAGAGGTTCAAAGGCTTGTAGCTCTAAGGGAGATAAATCTGGGCCCTTTTGTTGTCTCTGAGCACATGTTCATTAACAGAAACACATGTTACAGTTGATTCTATCAACTGTATTGCATCTTTCCGTACTGTTGGCCACAGGTGACAGCCTGCTGTTCTCAACTCGTCTCAGAAAATCCACAAAATGATCGGATACATGCTTCCCCCACCCCCAGCACCCTTGTTACTGCATTTTTTTAAAACAGCCTCGTTATCCGATGGAGATAATTTACCACACCACTTACGTAAATATACCAGTGGGTCCTAGTGTGCTTTCTTCAGCATCGTTTTGTTATAATGTTGAGGATATGCCATAGGAACCTTTAAGCCTTATTGATGTCAATTAGCCCATGGTAAAATTGGTTTCATTATACATCAGTTTGCTTCAAGTCACAGAACCTGTCCATGACGTTAAGTGAGGCCTTACTGTAATTGGAAAAAACATTCAGGAATGGGGGTGCTTTCAGGTCTCCCAGTACCTGACTGGAGAAGACTATGCCAGTATAGAGTTAGCTTTGCACTACAGAGAAATGGACTTTCTGTAGCTTAGTTGGACAGAACTGTGCTTGGAGCTAGCAGACNATTAGCCCATGGTAAAATTGGTTTCATTATACATCAGTTTGCTTCAAGTCACAGAACCTGTCCATGACGTTAAGTGAGGCCTTACTGTAATTGGAAAAAACATTCAGGAATGGGGGTGCTTTCAGGTCTCCCAGTACCTGACTGGAGAAGACTATGCCAGTATAGAGTTAGCTTTGCACTACAGAGAAATGGACTTTCTGTAGCTTAGTTGGACAGAACTGTGCTTGGAGCTAGCAGACATTTTTTTACAGTGAGTTCTCAAAAGTCTTCTGTTCTTATCTGGAAAAGAGCCCTAGGGGAGAGAATTGCTTTAAGGTGGTAGCATTCATTAGAATCAGTAGTTCGAAAATCATCAGAGCTCCAATCCATCCTCTACCACAGAGGAAAGTCTCTGAGTTCCTTCTTCTGTAATGAGGCTCAAGGATATTTGCTTGTTTTCCTAGGTCCTTGTGTGGGATGATTAGTTGATTTATGCTCCCTTTCAACATGGTCATAATTCAAGCATTTCTTGAGGCCTCTAAAGCTTTACATATTGAAAAAATAGCAATCCCCATCTGTTTCTTGCACAGCGTCTGTATTGGTAAAATATGAACTCCTCATGTGATGTGACACTTGTCATGTTCAGAGGTGAGGGAAAGGTTGCATGAAGCAGAGGGATATGACTGAACACTGAGTCACTACAGTGCAGCAGAAAAAAATATGTTGTTTGTGTTATTTCTGTTTTTTGCTTACCGATGAACTTTGACATTTGTGTGCCATGTGACTAAAGCCGAATTCCTTAATTTACTTATAGAAGAGAGTATTATTGTCTAGTATTAACTCCAAAAGTGGCTATTATAAAATGTCATGAAAACCCTTATTTAAAAACTCATCCATAAACTGTGAATCTATTTGATTTTCAGAATTTTTAACAAAACTCAGGCAGCTTAAAGTGGAATTCTTATATTAAACAATTATTTGGAGTTCAAACTTATGATAGGCACTACTTATCTAATAAGGGCTGTTTAAATGTTTGTAAATGTTCTTTCAGCTGGTCTACCTTACATTAGTTATTATTTTGTTCTAAATGGCACTGTGGGTAGGTATGTCTTGGTACATTTATTTAAAACATCCTTGTGATCCCACTGAAGTATGTTTACACAAGATTTTGTGATACATAAATACAGATGTCAACATTAATTACAGTTGCAAATTCAAGGGAGCTTTTTCCTTCTACCTTGGTATTTTGTCAAAATATACAAAAACATATCATAAATGTCAATGAGAAAATGTAGGCATATTAAAAGATTTATTATGGTCTTTCAACCATAATAAAGAACAAGATTTACGATATGATGATGGTAAGATTAAATGTTCCCTTCTTAGCATCACTTTAAGAAAATCTAAACCACTTAAAATTTATGGATCCCAACTCCTCCAATTGCAGATAATTAGAATAAGTGAATTGTTAAAACTTTATACTATTTCCCTTAAATAGCTACAGGTTCTTGATACACATAAGAATGAATTTAAATGGTTTGTTGATTAGTTGGCATGCAATTGAATTTTTCTCCCTAGATTTTGAGTACTTCAGTCACTCAACATTACCCATCTTTCTTAAAGCAGTTGCAATATATAATCACAAGCCCATGTTCTTCAGGTAAAGCTTTAGTCCTAAATATATCCCATCTTCTGCTTTCGAACCATCTTCTTGGTGAAAAAATCTTATGAAGAGAAACTTGGGTAATTCACTTAATCACACCATTGTGTGAGAGATTATACAGAATGTTCTAGAGCTAGGCAGTCCAGTATGTTAGCTACGAGCCATGTGCCGATAGTGAGTGCCTGAAATGTGGCTAGTGTGACTGACGACCTGAAATAGTTTTATTTCATTTTAACTCATTTAAATGTAAACTTAAAACTGTGGCCATATAAATATTTTTTTCCATTAAACACAGNGAAACTTTAACAATCTCTCAAGAGCCATTGTGAGGCAGCTACAGCCCACCACTGGATCGATCTAATCATTGTCTCAAGTAAACGGAGGAAAACCACAGACGCTTAAGTTCTCGAAATGGCTTTTCTTGACTTACTCTTAAATATTTTCCTTTGACTTTAATCAACAGTTAATATGAGAACCAATAAAAAGAACTCTTGCCAAAAAGTTCTGTCAAAAACTTTGTATGGCTCTAGGCCTGTGGGGATTCTGCTCCCTAAGGGGACACTGGCAATAATTAGAGACATTGTTGGTTGTCACCACTGGGGTAGGGGTGCTACTGGCATCTGGTAGGTACAGGCCAGGGATGCTGCTAAACGTCCTACATTGCACAGGTTAGTCCCCCATCGAACCCAAAATCTAAACAGTTCTAAGACCGAGAGACCCTGCTCTGGGTCTTCTATATAAGATGAAATGTGATAAATTTCCTTATAACTTGGTACCTGTGTCTCCTCTAAAATATTTCCCTCTATAAAATAACAAGAATTTTGTAGCCCACTGTGTCTCCCTTTAGTTCTTCACTAACAGCAACTATATTAATCCTTGAGCTTACTCTTTTTTTAGGACTCTTAATTTTCTGGGTTTTTACTTTAATTTTATTGTACCAAGTTATTTTACTTTAATTTTATTGTACCAAGTTATTTGTTAATAAGATAAATTCTCCTTAGAAATAAGAAGAGGATGAATGGTTGATTGGATGGACGGTTGGATGGATGTCTGGATGAATGATGATGAATGATGGATAGCTGGTTGGATGATGGATGAAAGATGGATGGATGGATGGATGGATGGATGATGGATAGATGATGGATGGATGATGGTTGGATGATGGATAATGATTGATGGATACCTGGATGGATGATGGATATATGGATGGATAATGGATGGATAAACGATGGTTGGATGGGGAGAAAGTAAAAGAAAAAAAGTAAGAAAGAAGGAAGGAGGAGATTTTGCTTTGGAAATGGAAAACATTGAAAATAACTGGGTGGCTACTGGTATGACTTTTAAAGGCTTTTATGGAATATATTTAAATATATATTTTTAATTTCAGAGGAAAAATGATCCCTATTCTCTTGCATCCCTGGTATCCTTTGAAGTTAAGAAGATGCCTTATAAAGATCAGCCAGAAAAACTCCCAGAAGGAAGCATAGCAGTGAGTATCTTAAAAATAAAAAGGCACAAATAATTTCATGGAAATAATTTTTTTTAAAGCACTGTTCAGCTTGTGCTAGATATAAGTGCTTATTACATTGGCTTGAGAAAAGTTTCTGTCTTCAGATCANTTTCACAATTTCCCGGAAGAACTTGATTTTTATAGCCTGTTTTTCTTTTCCGTAGTGTGGATTCTTTGACAGAGCAAGACCCCCCCAAGATGATATGAATGACAGGGAACAACTGACTAATGAGAAAACCCCTGGTGCCTGAAAAAGAAAACCAAAGATCCCCAAACTCCAACACTGGTCCTGTTCATAGAAAAGAAGGAACATAGGGTTAAAGAACGGTTTTCCTGTACCTGCCAGGGTCCTAGGAAACGGAAAGGCCCTGGAAAAGATCACTTCAGCTACACCACTCTTTGGAGAAGCTGCCCCAGAGCCCAGCGACCCTTTTGGGAAAGGAAACATCTTCAACACCATAGAAACAATCAGTCATCGGGGCAGATTTCTCTGCTTGAGTGGTTCTGTATTTGGCAGGCACTTTGAAATGGGTACAGGAACTGAGGTTGCTTTCCAGGTAAATCCAACTTTACAGCGCAAAGACAAAAACGTCTGAATTACAATAGAATTTAGAAGGTGAACTCGGACCAAACCTTCCACTACTACTGTATCCAAAGGAATATTTGACACCTCCCTATGGAAAAGAAACGTTTCTAATGACCTTATATGGCTCAGGGAGACAAGCATATGTTGTTGGTACTGTGAAAGTACGTTGGAAGTGACAAAGATAACCTTGTAAGCGAGGGTAACAATTTATTTATTTATTTTCCATTTCTCTAGACTGATAATCTGGTCATCTAGAGGATTTGGAAATTAAGATTTGGTTTAGCTGGTTTTTGAAATCACTCACTAAATTTCCTTCTCAGACAACCATTTTGTGCAGATAAATGGTTTCACAGAGCTTCTTTAAGATTTAGACAGTGTTACGGAAAAGCAAGTCGGTATTAGGATATATTGGGTTGTTGGAAAAGTCATGATGTATTTTTTCTGTTTTTCGTTGCAAAAATGCATCATAACTTTTCCGACAACCCAATAGTTTCGCTTAATACATTGCTGCCTTCTCCCTGAAATTACTTTCATTACACTTTCCAGGGACTCACATCTGCTTAATTCAGCTTTGCAAAAAGTTGCATTTATAGTGCCTTTTGTAAAAAAAGAAAAAAAAATCATGTCATTGACTTAATTAGCAATACACAAATTTCAAGGTACTCTCAACCCTGTGTGGTGTTTAAAAGTTATGGTAAAATTTCTAGAATCCATTAATAAAAGATCAATTTAACAATATGGCTAAACATTGTTTTTAATATCCATAAAAAGCAACACCAATATTTAGCTTCAGATTACATACCTATTTACTATACCTCATACTTTTATGTACACAGAGAAGACATGTTAAATATAAATAGGAAGGAAATACCAAGTTATACAGATGTGAGATGA